AAAAAGAGAGAGAGAGCACAAGCAGGGCGAGGGGCAGAGGGAGAAGCAGGCTCTCCTCTGAGCAGGGAGCACGACGCAGGGCTCCATCCCAGGACCCTGGGATCATGACCTGAGCTGAAGGCAGACGCTTAACTGACTGAGCCCCCCAGGTGCCCCTGTGATTTTTTTTCTAATGAGCCAAAGGACTTAGAAAACGGTGAAAAGTCCTGCAAATCTACCATAATATTTGAACTCCTTTTCAATGCTTTTAAACTACACTGTTGCACCCAATATGACATTTCTCTATGAATTTTTCAAAATTGGATATTTAACAGTGAGAAAATGAAGGTATTCAATTCTCAAGAAGGTGATTGAATCTTTCTGCAAACTTCCTGGATAAGACATAGATAAGGACCTCTGTCTGGTATAAAGCTGTATTGTATTTATGTATATGTGTATGTTGGGGGAGTGGGGGTTCTGAAGAAAAAAATATAAATAAGTACAAAAGATAATAAAACAAATACTCCTGCATGCAATACTCCAATTAAACAAATATTAATATTTTGTCATTGCTTCAGGTCTTTGTAAAAGAAATGATCAGATAAAGTTATAAATCCCTCTTTTTCCAATCACATTCCCATCATTATCCCCCAGAAGCATCCAAAGTCATGGCTCTAGTTCATGCTTTTATTACTTTACTATATATGTTATCTGGAAATAAAAGGTACTGTTTTGTGTAATTATGAAAATTAAGTTAATAATACAGGCTATATTTAATATTTTACAGCTGTTTTTTCCATTCAGTGTTATTTTACGATCTCCCCGTTGAATCCTATAGATCTAAGTTATCCATTTTAAGTGTTGTTTTATATATCATCATATAACGAGATCCCCATCTTTATTTATTCCTGAAAAGATGAAAATATGGATTGTTTCCCATTTAAGTTATTAAAAATACTGTCATTAATGTCTTCGTATGCATATGTGAAAGTTTCTCCAATGTATAAATGAGAGTGGAATTTGTTAGCTACATTGTTATGTAGCCAATATTATTCTTCAAAATGATTGTATGAGAGCTTTTTGTTTACCCACATCCTCTCTCAAAATTTGGTGCCCTGTGACTTTTTAACTGTGGGGAAATTGGTTATGGAATAATTGTTTATTTGAATTTCTCTGATTACTGGTTTTGAGCATTTATTAATCTAATTTGGGGCATTTATATTTTTCTTTTCTGTAAACTGCCCACACATCTCCTTTGCCCATTTTTCTATTAGGTTATTTGTATTTTTCAATTGTGATGTGTTACTTCTGTATTACAGATAATAATCCTTTGTATCTTCTAGTCCGGCTTTCATTTTTCACTTTATTTATGTTATCCTTATTTGTTCAAAGGTTTTTGATAAATTAGACTGTATCAAAAATAATATTTTCCTTTTTGCCTTAGTCTCATAAGAAATCCTTTTCCTGCCCTGAAACTATAAAAGCATTTTTCTATATTTTTTAATCAGAGTTTTATAATTGTTTGTAACATCTATCCCTAATTCATTTGAAGTTTGTGTGTGTGTGTTCTAGCTTAAAGATGTAGTTTTTTTCATGTTTAAATCAAATTGTATCAACACCAGGTATTGAACTTTTTCTGAATGATAATGGAAATGTCCTCTAATTTAAGCCATGATTGCATATATGCCTGAGTCTGTGTCTCAGCTCTATACAGATTCCTTCTACTGATCTACTTATGTATTCCCATACCAATGACATACTGTCATAATTATTATTGTTTTGTATTATTGACATGATATCCCCACTTGTTCTTGTTTTCAGAGATATCTTGGTTTATTTCTGCCCTTTTATTCTTCCACATAAATTTTAGAATCCCTTTGTTGAGTTCCATGAATGATTAAATTAGAATTTTTATTACAGTCATATTGAATTTATAGAATAATTTGGGACAATTAACATTTTGAAGATACCCCATTTCCCCACTTGAGAAAATAACCTATCTCTATCCAGGTTTATTTTGTATTTTTTGATAAAGTTTTGTAATATTTTCAAAAAGTTCTTGCACAACTTTTGTTAGAAATAGTGCCAGTTGTTTTCATTTTTATAATTCATTTGAATGATGCCTTTCTTTCTTTGATACATTCTAATTAGTTATTGGTAGTATTTTAGAAAGACATTGATTTTTGAAGCTTAACCTGGTATCCTCCATGAACTGTCTCTGATAACTTCATTTAATCTCTTGGAATTTCTTTGTAGACAACCATATCACTTGTAAATATTAAAATGTGTGTTTTCCTTTAACCCTTATTCACTTTTTCTTATTTTATTGCATTGGCTAGGAAATTAATACTTTTCAGTGTTGGATGTGATAGAGTTTATTGTCCTTTTCTTGTCATCAATGAAGTTGCTTATAAAATTCAGCACTCAGCAAACATTTTTATGTTATCTACTATGTACCAGGCATTGTTACAATGAATAGAATAGACAAAAATCTCTACCTTCATGGAACTTATTTTCTAGTTGGTTAGACAAACAAGGGTGGATAGGTTATGCTTGGGGTAGAGTAAGGGAGGTGTGATTTTAAATAAAGTAGCAGGGAAGGTTCCCCTGAGAATGTAACATAGGAGTAAGGATGAAGTCAAGCACTGAGGGAACAACCAGTGCAAAGGCCCTGACATATGACTGTACCAGGCATGGTTGAGGAACAGCAAGGAGGCCATTTTGGTTAAACAGAGTGAGCGAGGAGGAGAGAAAAGGAGATGCATTCAGAGAAGTGATAAAGGACCAGAGTGCAAAAACATTGGCTTTGACTCTGAGTAAAATGGGAAGCCACTGGAAGATTTAGAGTGGATTTGGGTGGAAGAATCTTTGCTGAAATCATCTACTTATGTTTTAAAAGACTCACTTTGGCTGCTGTGTTGAGACTAGAATGGAATGGAATAGGAAGAGAAGAGATGAGGAGTAGCGAAAACAGAAGGGAGTGCAAGGGGCAGTAAAGAGGCCTTGCATTCGCTGATCTGCTGATGTGAGGTCTGAATGAAAGAGAGGAGTCTAGGATGATTCCACGGGTTTTTGGTTTTCTCCCCCCTTGGTCTGAATAATTAGATAAGGCTTTTCATTTACGGAAAGTGGAAGAATTGTGGGAGGAACGGGTTGGTGGAGGAGGAAAGAGCGTCGGATTGGAACATGTGCCTGAGATGGCAAGTTGAGAAAGCCAAGGGGAGACGTCAGGTAGGTAGTTGGATAGATGAGTCCTGAATTTGGGAAAATCATCTTTACTGGACTTGTAAATTTGAGAATTCTGAACAGGAAACAGGTAGGTCCAGTAAAAGTCTCAATGAGTTCATCCAAAAAATGACAGAGAAGCGTTCTAGGGACAGGGTATTGTGGCCAACCAAAATTTGGAGGTGAGAGACGAGAAAAGGAAAGAACAAAATAGACTGAGAAGTGACTCGTGAGCTAGGGAGCGAATAGGTGAGTGTGGTGCCCAGAAAGGCAGGAGAAGAAAGCATTTCAAAGAGGATGGAGTGATCACTGTGTCACAGGTGCTGATTGGCCTGGAGATATTTATAAAAGGACTCTTAAATTGAACAATCTGGGGACACTGTCATACATATAAAAACTGTTAGTGGTGGGAAGGAAACCCTTCCATTTCCCTAATTTATGTCTCAAATTTATTTCTAGACTGTTCTAAACAGAGAATCATGGGATTTTACTTTAGCCAGTCATTAATTAAGTCCAACATCATTATTTTTGTCAATTTCAGTACTTAATTGCTTCTTATATTTCACTCCTTCCTCTGACTTTGTTTTCTTCTGAATGAAGTAGATTATATACCTGATAACCTTTTAACTAGAAATGCTACAAGAAATATTATATAAGTATTTGCCCATGAAAATTATTTAACTACTTCCCTTATGTAAACACAGAAAAATTTTTTTAATACATACCTTATTCTCCAATTTAAAAAAAGTCAATGCTTGAAAACATAATTTTTAAAGCATAAGCTCACAATACCAAAATAAGCCAAAGTACATGATGGTTTTAATAAGTATTGCTCACAGTCACACATGACATTGTATGTATATGATTTACATACGTTGCATATTTATAAAAATATCATGCAGTAGAATTCATTCCTTTTCCATGAGGTCATGCTATATTTGATATTATTCTACTCAAAGTTTTTTTTTTTTTATCCTCAACAAAGTCTTGGGTCACCTATACATTGGTGACAATTCATTTGGCCTGCTTCATAAGGTCACAGGTAGTTCATCCTGTATCCCAGTATTTTTCTCATTTGCCATGATACCGACATTCCACCAAAGTAATTTCCATGGATTTGATGACTTTTTATTTTTCCACAATTCTCTACTGAATGAAAACGCATCTCGGGTGATGGAGGGAAGGGAAGTGTTACCTTTGCAACAGGGACTCCTAACAGCGAAAAAGGCACTTTGCCAATATATATGATCAAGATTCGGCCCCTGAAGGGTGAGTCAGACGGAGATGCAATGTCTTAAAAGAAGCTGAAAGAACACCAGAAACAAACTTGATCTTCCTCACAATTTTACATAGTTAGAAACCTTGCAAGCTGATTTGTAAAACTCAGTGAACCTGACTGTAAGTGAACACCAGGGGAGAAACAAGTTATGTACCCCCGCTACAGTTATTTAGACCTGTTCACCAGGGAAAGCGGATGAAATCCTTCTTGAGTAAAGAAAGAAGTTAAACATAGATTTTCCAACCTTGTCTCCTTTACTTTACCAACTTGATGTTGATTACGTGACGTCGTTATGATCATTTTATGTAGCAGATAAGGGTGGAAGTTCGTCCCTCAGGTTTTTAAGATAGTCTCCTAAAAAATTTTTGCTGAAAATTTTTAATTTGACTGCTAAAGCTTATTCATTTTTTTTTACTTTCATTTATCTCCCATCCCAATTAAACTGTGTTCCCTTCAGCAGAGGCAATGGATCTTTCTTTTAATTTTTTCATACCTTCTGTTTTCTCTCTTCTTTCAGCCAGTTGGGTGCGAAAGTAGCTGAAATGCGAAAGAGACAGCAATCACAAAATGAAGGAACACCTGCTGTGTCTCAAGGGCCTGGAAACCAGAGACCCAACAACACGTGTTGCTTCTGCTGGTGTTGTTGCTGCAGCTGCTCCTGGTATGTGGCTCTCTCAGTAGGACGTCCCCCCCCCCCCCCCCGCCCCGCGCTAGCTGGGGACTAACTAGAGTGAATTTGCAGCTTAGTTCTTAGGATCCTGGAAACCTCTCCACCTGTCTCCTTTTCCTCCCTTACGAGTAGCAATTATTGGAGACCATCCCTGGGAATAGAATATTTCCCCAGAATCTACATTTAAATTGAGAGTAAGGTAAACAGTTGAAAACTTACTTTTTTATCCTGTTTTTCTCCATCCACCCTTCTTAAAGAGACAGGTAAAACGAAGATTAGGGTGATTGTTTAACCATACACAATATTCTCCAATGTTCCGGAAGGTGCAAGAACATGAAGATAATATCGAGCAGTACTGTACATCATGGTCAATGTTGTGTTTTAGTTATATGCTGTTTCACAGGATGTTGATCATTCCGTCATGGAGCCACAAAACTATGAGTCAGGGTGGCCCTCTCAGCCACAGATGCCTTATAAAGGACAGAGAAAGAAGTGCCCCAGATCCATGTCCACAGGTCTAAAAGGCCAGGGGTGTTATGACAGGTATGAAAGCCAAGTCAGTCAACTAAAATCTCCAAACAAGAGCCAGAGAGCCTGCTTTCCTTGGTGACTTTATCACTGACAGGTTCTGTGACATCATCCAAAGTTTTAAACTCTGCTTTTTGGTTTCCTCATTGGCAAAATGATAAAGTTAGACAAGCTGATCCCCAAGGTTCTGTCCAATACTAAATGTCTGTGATTCAGGCACCTCAGGAAACCTGCTCCAGTTCCAAATTCCCCAAGTGCCTTCCAGTAAGAAAATCAGCAAGACCCAGAGTCCTAAGATTTATGTGGATGAGATTCCCCAGGGGGATGCTAGATTTAATAGAACTTTCCATAGAACCATAAGTTTCGGGGTCCTTTAAGAGCCAATTCACAAGTGGATCTTCTGGATTAGTAGTGGTCCTCTGGATCTCCCCGATTTACATCAGAGCTCTGAAGAAAGGCCGAAATACTTGAATGATCTTCTTGTATATGATCTCCGCAGTTTCCTGACATCCTTTGAGGTTACTGGTATGATATGGTGGCATAATATTCTATCATTGTGGCCGAAATAGATGAAACTTGTTATGCTTTAGTGGTAGCCTTGGTGTTAAACAAGCTCTGTCCCTTTTAGGAAACTTCATTTCCAGAAAACCATCAGACATTTTAGTAATTCGGAAGTTTGAGGTTTTATAAATATCAAAATTGCCTCCCAGACGATGATTCTTTGTTAAGGAAAATCATAAGTGACTCCTTTTCTTTCATTTTTAAGCCTTAACTATTTCAGATGGAGGAAATACTTCACAAAATTTTATGTATTTTTTTTTTTTTCACTGATCACTCCTAAAGAGATCATCTGTCTCTGGTTTGAATCCATGGAGTAAAGTGTAGTGACTTAATATGGTGGTTTGGAAGTCAGACTGCCTGAGTTCAAATCTTGTCATCATCACTGTCTGACTTTTAACAAGTTACTTAATGTACTCAAATTATAGTAATAAGAATCCCTACTTCATAAGGTTGTTGTAAACATTAAATGAAATAAAACACATACAAGCTGAAAACAGTGCCTGACACATAGTATGCATTTAGGAATTACCTCAGTGGGGGGCACCTGGGTGGCTCAGTTGGTTAAGTGTCCTACTCTTGGTTTCAGCTCAGGTCGTGATCTCAGGGTCGTGAAATTGAGTCCTGCATCAGGCTCTGCACTCAGCACAGAGTCCGCTTGGGATTCTCTCTCCCTCTCCCTCTGCACCCCCACACCCCTGCCTTTGCATGCTTTGCGCTCTCTCTCTCTCTCGCATTAGCTCACTGGGTTATAGAACACTTCATATTGGCAAAAATAAAATCTCCTTTATAAAGAGTACCTGGCTTGGAATAATGTATGTATATATTTTTAAAGATCTGCTTATGGATATAATATAAAAACTAATCTTAGAAAGGAAAGCTATTTTATTTTAGATTCTGTGTAAGACATCGCAAATATATTGTTACAAAGTGTTGAAGATTATATTTCTTTTTCTCATTTGCACTATACTATGTTCCAGAAATCAGTATATGATTTTATTTACCTGCTGAAATTTATTTCTGAGTTGCTTCAGGATTATAACACCAAAACAGATAAGAGTACTGAAGTTTTGTTGCACTATATTCATTTACTGTCAAACAGCTATTTGGTGAGATTTGTTTTTTTTCCTCTCCTACATATATTTAGTGAGACTTGCTTTTATAAAGTGCGCACTGAATAACAAAACATTCAGCATGAGCTTGTGAGCATCAAACTGTCAGAGAACACAGACTATGGATGGAGAACAAAACAGTTTTTGGAAGCTGCATTAACTCTCCACACCTCTAAAGTGACACCGATTTGAGCTCAAACACTTGGTGCCTTGGATAAGGGCTCTGAGTTCTAGACTCAAGTGTCATTGTCAAGAACTATGTTTGTTAGCAATGAGTCATGGATGCCTGAGTCTAAGCCATAAAACACACATTTTGTAAATTTATAAATGATAAATCATAGGTAATTTATAATGTAAACAACTTGAAAAAGATGAAAGTTAAATTGCCTTAACTATGAATTCTAATTGTGTTATCTCATTGAGAATGAGAATCTCAATACATGCATTTTGAAAATATTTTTATATTTTGAGTTTAAGAAAAAAAACTTAAAACCTTATTAGAGTGGAAAAACAAAAGAAATAAATGTTCTTCAAATTTTCCAGGATAGGTCAGAGGAGCAGAACAGAAAGAAACACTAAAAAATGTTAATTTGGGGACCAAAGTAAAGTTAGAAATCAAAATATGAAGTAACTGTCATTTGTAAAAAGGAACATTTGTCCCGTAGCTGATTTTTCCTCCTTTTAAGGAAATAGAATGCTAGGAAAGTAAATTTCTATATCTAGTGATAAATACAAATGCCTCACCGTAGCCTTACACATTATAGGTTTTTTCAACAACATAGTATTTCCCTCAGATTTGCATTTCTCTTTCATATTTCAGTATCAGCTCCTATCCCATATTTACACTTATTCCTATCTTAATAAAATTACCACTGTGCTTTGGAGGGAGGGGGGATGATACAGAGATTAAGTACAAAACTGCTGAATATTTCCATAGTTTCCTTCCAACATCTGAAAAGTTGGGACTTAATCCATAATGACTTGTTAAGCCCATCTGTTCTCTGTCCCTTTCAAGGAACCACTTCTGTCCCCAAATCAGTCTCTTTCCCTTCTCTCCCCACAGCCTTCCATTTCAAGAGGAGAAAACAAGGGAATGTGGTTTAGAGCATGTGAGCTGTGTAACAGAAATGAATCATGGAGGTCTGAGTTTGGGCCATAAAATGAACCATGTATAAATTTGCAAGTCCTTCTATACGTGGGACTAAGCTGTTCCTGACCAGGAGGACAGAGAGTTTTGTGAAGACCACTTGTCTAAAGGTTCAAGGTTGCCACTGTGAAAACTTAATGTTCCTCTGACATCAAGACTCAAACAGAGGTAGTTAACTCTCTTCCCTTTTCTTGGTGAGAATGAAATCTTTGAACGATGTGGGCTCCCCACCAAATTGCCATCTCCAGGACAGTAGGGAGCTGTGAGGACATTCACACACGTGCACTTGAGATGACACGTGTGACGAGGCATCGCAAAGTAGAAACTGCTGTGGGCTCCCAAAAGCAAGGGGCCTCAAGAAGGAGATGGAAAAGTAGAGATTTCAAAATTTATGTCAAGCTTAAAGCTAATTTCCAGATTGTCCCACGAACCCTCTTCCAACGTCAGAGGTTATGTTAAAATAACCCAGATTTTTTATTTTCCCAAAGAAGTCTTTAGGTGCTAATCCATCGCTGTTTTGTTTCCTTGTTGTTCCTGGTGGTGTCCTATCAAGCAAGACAGATTTCCATGTTCAACCGTAAAAAATCAGAACTCAAGAGACTTCAGCTCTCATCTCTCAATCTCTCCAAATGTTCCTATTGACTTCTCATGCCACTTGGTGGGAATGAGGGGATGGCTCCAGGGGAGTCCGGGGCTGGGAGCCACAGCCCCGGGTAATGGCTCTGTCTTTAGCTATTTTACATATTAGACTTAGGTATAAGCTTTAAAAAAAAAAAAGATTCATTTATTTGAGAGAGAGTGGTGGGGGAGGGGCAGAGGAAGAGCAAGACAGAATCTCAAGCAGACTTCACATGGAGCCCAATGCGGGGTTCAATCTCACGACCCTGAGATCACTACCTGAGCAGAGACCAAGAGTCAGACGCTTAACTGCGCCACCCAGGCACCCCAAGCTTTTGGCTGAAAGAAAAGTTGGCTTTGTTAAAAAAAACTAATGTCTAGAAAATGCTGTGTCTAATGTTCCAGATAAGGAAACTGAAGGCTTCCCTGCTCTCACGAAACTCATTGGTGACAGAAGTGAGGCTAAAATACACATCTCTTAATATCCAGTCCGTTGTTTTGTCCACTTGAAGATGACACTTGCAGACTTTTCATTTCTTGGTTTGATACGAACCATTTCAAAACTTCTTAGTTTTCAGATTGAATTCACAGTCCTCATGCACTACTGTGTACTGCCTATAAGATTTGGCCCACTGCATTGGATACTCTTCATTCTCCTCAGGAGAAATTGTCCCACAGACTGAAATTAGCTAGCCCTGTGAAAGCTAAAATTCTCTCCCTTTTGGACACACAACTTCCTAGAGTTCCCAGACCATGCGACAGATCCGACTAAGTAAAGATTCAGCACTTCATCAACATGCTTTCGGCTGCCCCCTCCCTCCATTCTTAAGAAGTACCCCAGTTTCTGTAATTTAAAACAGTGCAAAAATCATGTCCTATTTTATCCTCTGATGCTGTCACACTTTAGCTATCTGCCAGTGAAAATACTACAACACATGCTTTAAACACCTAAGGTTATTTTTCAAAAGGGAAAACAAAATCCACATCTGCTCCTTGGTGAAGGAACCACCCCTGGAAATAAATCTGCT